AAATCATTTTCTGCCACAGTATCACCAACTTCGTTTTTTAGTGTCTCATTTTTCTTTTTCATTTCTTTCTAAAGTAAATAAAATTATTTACAAATTATTTTATTATGGCCTCACAAATTTCAAAAAAACTGCCCTTTTAAATTCTATAATATATTAAGTGCATTTTAACGCATATTTATAATTAATATCAAATATTTAATACGTTAACCGCCATATGACCGCAGAAGTTTTATGGCGGTTCACGTGTTAAAATCAGCATGGCCCTAATTGAACTACCTAAAAATTCTTCTTAGAAAATATATTAATTAACTTAAAAATGATTTACTAATTGTATTTCAGCATCTCCTATATCCTCTATGTGTAATTCTATTTCTTGCTCCAGCTTTTTATTTTCGTCCATCAAACTTTGGTTTGTGGACTCCAATGTATGTAGCATCTGATAAAATATTTTCAAAATTATTTTTAAGTATATTAAATTCTTCTAAAATATTATTAGTATAAGACCTACTAATTATGTTTCAATTTAAATGGTAAAACTTACTTGCATTGACGACTCCAACAGTACAACAATGGACAAATAGCCCTCTTTATAAAATTCAGATTCAGACACATCAGAAACAGTTTTTTTATGAACTTTCAAAAATTGTTCATATGAACTTGGAAATTCATCCATCTTACCCATATTTTTCAATGAAATAAAATATTTAACAGTAAGTTAATATATTTAAAAGTAACTCTGTGAGATGTTAACTCAACGGAGAACAGATAAAATGTGAAAAACCAGTAATACTATAAATGTAGGAAATAGATAGGTACCTTTATCTTTTTTACCTATGTGAAACATGTCATATTCATAATTCAATTAATTATGTTTTATAGTGATATGTAGGTATACATATAGGTGTGTAATATAGATAACAAAATTTGGAAAATCCAATGCTTTATATTTTATATTTAAGAAAATATTATGTTGTATAATTTGTTAATTTATTTAAGTTTATTATTTATTAATCATACATAATACCTACATATGTATTTATTTAATATAATTTATATTTATATATCAGATTGACTAGTAAATTATAAAATAAATATTTTTTTAAAACAATATGGTGTACCTTAATAATAGTAAATGATTATATTAAACAGATAACATTTATTCATTTTAAGACAAAGTAAATCAACAACTTCTATGTATTTAGAAAAATAATTCATAAATATAAAGATACAAAATACAATACAATGAGGAAAATCCAAAATATTATATGTATAAATATATACATATACCAAAACAATTACAAAATTATCAAAACATATCTGTCTGAAAGTAGCATTTAGTTTGTTAGTAGCAATACATAAGATATTCCTTGTTTATTTATTAAATCACAAAATTATAATTTTTTTTTCTTAATTTTATAATTAAATACAAATGATAATGTATACGAACGAAGAAAAAATCAACATGTTAAATATTGCTACATTGAAACAGGAAAAAATTCTAGAGCAGCGGCAAGGTTCGTATAAATTAACGTTTATTTTAATTGAATCAAATCTGGGCAAGTTAGTTATTTTTTTCAACTACCTAGTTAAGTTATTTTAAGGCACCCGGTGCCAATGTAAATTTGTTCACAAAAATACGCTTTACGGGAATAATGATCCTGTTTTGTAGAATCAACCAAATTTGATAATTTTTTTTTTAACTAATTGAGGGTAATATTCTGCAGTTCGCATCGATCTTCGTTTTTCAATATTTTAATCTCAAACTTTATAATATGTCTTCAAAAATAATATAATTTTAAGCAATTTTTTATAAATTATACTATACCATTATTTTAAATAAAATAAAAAATCATAGTTCGATCAGCCTGTAGCAAGTCTTATTCTTTCAGATAAAAATATAGTTATCAAAATCCAACAATTCTACAATGCCTGAGAATTATTCCCTTGAAGTTATTTTTTTTTAACGAGTTAACTAGTTTATTTTACACATTCAACTCAACTCGTTAAGTTACAAAGTCATGCTGATTTAAAACTAACTAATTAGTGCCCAGCTTTGATTTACACAAGTGTATTTTTGAAAAAATTGTATAAATCCAATGTTTTAATGTATAGATTATATAAAAATCGGTATCCTGAACACACTATTCCAGCACATTCTCTGTTTTCTTACTTATATAAAAATCTACATGATGTCGGAAGCTTCACAAGAGCAAAACGTAGAGTCCATACAGTCATCAATGACCATAATTCCCATGCAGTCTTAGCCAAGTTCATTGAAAATCCACATATATCCTTGCGAGTTGTAGCAGGTATTTCTATTAAATTAAATAAAAAAATAAAAGTTAATTCCACATTTTAAATTTTAGATGAACTGAATATGTCGTATTCTTCCGTTCAAAGAATAGCTAAAAAATATAAATATCATGCGTACTTGGCTTCTTCGGTTCAAAAACTGCAATCCAGTGACTATGAAAGACGTCTTAATTTTGTTGCACTCATTGTAGTGAAATTAGAGAAAGATCCATTATTGTTGAAAAAGATTCTTTGGACTGATGAAGCAAAATTTCACAATAATGGAACAGTAAACCATCATAACAATCACCGTTGGAATGATTCAAATCCTCACTGGATTAATGAAACCAAAAGTCAAGTCCACTGGGGAGTGAATGTATGGTGTGGAATAACTGACGAGTTTTTAGTTGGTCCATATTTTTTTGAAGGCAATCTTAATGGAAATAGATATGTTAATTTTTTAAAACATGAATTGCCAATTTTGTTAGAAAATATTCCGCTTAAACAACGTTTAGATTTAATTTGGCAGCAAGATGGTGCACCAGCACACAATACTTTAGTAGTACGTGAATACTTGCAACAAATATATGGAAATAACTGGTTTGGAACCCATAGTCCAACAATTCAATGGCCACCACGTTCTCCTGATTTGAGTGTGCTTGATTTTTTTTTTTTGGGGTCATCTGAAAAATGAAGTATACAAACATGAAATAAATAATGTAGAAGAGCTAAAAACAAAAATTAAAGAATGTTGCAAAAATATTCAAGCTTCAATGATAAAAAAAGCTACATCATCTGAAATATTGAAGCGTTTATCTTTTTGTTTATCCGAAAATGGTAAACAATTTGAACATTTGTTAAAATATGTATAAATATAATTAGGTAGTATTGGTAGTAATAATACTGTTATAATATTTCATTAAGTACAATATTTGTACATACCTACTTATTGTATTAAATTGTCTTGTTATCTATTGTAATTTCTTCTTCTTTTCAACCATAATCGAATAATGTGTTTTTCAAACATTAAATTGCACAATGTGATCAACGAAATTAAATATTATATACGAATTAATAAAAGAAGAATACATTAATACAATAATAATTATTACAATTATTGTAAATATAAATAATATGACCAGTGGGTCAAGGGTACCTAGCATTATTATATTTTATTTTATTGTTAAAATATAAACTTATAACTTATTTGTTTAATATTTTTCGGCTTTACTTAGATATGTATTACTATAATAATAATGAATAAGTCAATAAAACGAAAACCTTGAATCCACGGTTGGCGTGATTTAAATAATTAGATATTATAGATAGCGAGCGACTTAAAATTTAAATTATAAATGTAAACTACAAACAAGAACATTGAAGAATCTAAATAATGTTTATTGTATATGATTATGACTATTGCTTAAGGATTAAAATAGAATAGGACTGGCGGGGGTGGATTTGTAACGGATTTGTTACCCGTTACTCCCGGAGTTTGATAAGAAATGTTTACCAGCCACCACGATTTAAATATATATAATTAATTAATTAATTAATTAATTTAAGTAAGATAATCTTATATTATCTATGGTGTGTACATATGGATTATGATATATTATTAACACAGATATGTGATTATTAATTATCTCAATGATACCAGCATATACCAGTGATAAAACTGCAGTGACGCCACATCGTAAATTATTTACAGTGATGCCCACGTTGCCACTCGCTCACAGCGCTGCGCTCGGACAAAAAAATCGAAAATATCCCTCGAGTTTCTACGCAACATTACGTCCTCAGAACGATAATTATCATTGATGTATTTATATAAAACAAAAAATTGTTTCCCGGTGAATTTTACCGCTACCGCCACAGTGTGTGAGCCTTTAACTATTGTAGCCCGTATAGGTACAAAGTACAATGATTATCAAACCTTGGATTGAACGATATCGATTTTATTACTTTTAACTTCTGGTCTTTACAAATGGAAAATACTACATAGTTATGCTGCAATAACGTATGAGCCATGGGGTGAAATGCATGAAACCCTGCTGGATGGGCCTATACGCTACACTATGTGCATAAAATGTCCTTACTATATTAATTTGAATTGTGTAATATTTATTACTCTGGGACATAAAAATCCTAATTGTTGCGGTACCTACAACTGACTAGGTATACACATTTACACACAAACACCTCCCAGAACAACTCAACTTTGAAGGACAATATTTCATCAACGGATTAACAAAAAATGAAAATTTAAACGTGATAATTCATAAAAAAAATAGCATTATTAATTTATGAAATTTTAAGTATAGGTTACCATTTGAAAATCAAAAGTTGATAGTAGTTTACCTAATTAATATAAGGGTGAAAAATATAAAACATTTATACAAATGTAGTAATACATAAAACTAAAATTAAAAAAAAAAAAAAAAAACTAAAAATGTTAATACTTTTTGAGATAATGAGTGTTCAACGATAAAAGAATCACCCTGTATATATATTTTTTTTTTTATTAAGAATAAGGCTTCGACATCGGTGGTCATTAGCCTGAAAAGGTTTACAATGGTAGATTAAGATTAGAAATATTGATAAAGTCTTATGTACATAGTAACATGAAAATTAAACAAAATGAGTAGATAAATAAAATAAAATAGTAGTGTTAAATAAATAGGTAAAACAGTAGTATTTGCAGATTTTTATAATAGGTTGGATACTTTGATGGCATTAAAAAAGTTGAAGATGGCATCGGTGTTGGTTTCACCGAGTGCTTCTTCGATGTTGGAGGGGAAGTTTAAGATGCTTCGTTCATGGTTGTACTTGGTGCAGCTGAGTGTGAGATGTTCAATTGTCAGTGGTAGGTCACATTGATGGCAGGTTGGATGTTCATCATGGTTGAAAAGGAAAGAATGGGTGAGATGTGTGTGGCCAATTCTGGCTCTAGTTGTGACGATATCTGCTTTACGTGTTGTGTTTAAGGGGGATCGCCATTTCTGTATGGTTTTTTTTATATTTTTTAATTTGTTATCCGAGGTGCGGTCCCATTGTGATTGTAATTGTTTGTTTGAGATTAGGTTGATTATTCTTGATAGGTCTTTATATGGTAGCGAATTTATAACAGTTGATTTAGTGGATGATATAGCTTGGTTCGCTAGTAGGTCGACTTCTTCGTTGCCTTTGATACCAGTATGTGACGGGACCCACATAAACTCTATAGTATTTTTTGAGTTAGCTATAATATTGATTATTTGTTGAGAGATTTCATTGGACGGATTAGGAGATAGTAAGGAAGTTAAGGCACTGAGAGAGTCGCTTGTGATAAGAGCTTTTTTTATGTGGGTGGATTCAACGTAGATAGTTGCTTCTTTGATGGCGGTCATTTCTGCTGTGAAGATGCTGGCTTCAGTAGGTAGTTTATATAGTTTTTTTACGGATCCAGAAATGAATGCACAGCCAGTGCCTGTTATATTTTTTGATGCATCTGTGTAGATAAGGTTGAGGTCATGGAAATCTGAGTTTATACTTCAACTTAACAAATAATGACGGTTTCTGCCAGTCTTTTAAATAAAATATACAATTTTTTTCAGTCTTTTATGTAATAATGTGATCACACTTTACTATTTCTAGTTTTAAAAGTTTTTTTATGTGAAAGATTATTATAGAATGGGTGTACATCAACAGGCATCACAGCTTTAAGTTTTTGTAGATCTTCCCACTTCGAAAGAGTTAAATTAATAGGTTTAAATACAATGGTTTATATGAGTTTATATTTATTTCTGGGTGAAGTGATTTAACCCTTAGAGGTAAGGCACAATATATGTCATCAAATAATAACTTATATTCAATAACTAAAGAATTTGGATTATATTTAAAAGCACGAACATCTTTAACCTCCGGATCACCTTTAGAGTTCCCTGGGCGGATTGATCTGTAAATCTGGTAATCTTTAAATCTAAAAAATATTTGTATGTTAATAAATCTACATCCAGTGGTTTGGGATTCTTGCGGGCTTTTTCGATTATTTTGACAAAATCATAGGGTAAAAATATATCTTCTCCTTTAGACTGTCTCTCAATTAGACTGTGGACCGAATCACACTCCATCTGGGTATGCCCTTTGACCAGAAACTTCTGTTCTATTTGCACATTATGGACCTTGGAAAAATGCAAGAGAGCATTACCAAGAACTGAATTGCGGTTTTGATAACCACAGCCATCCGAATAAATAACAATTGGTAATTTATTTATGCACACTTTGATTAAATGTTTGATCAAAATGGTAACAAAAACAGAGGCATCTAGCTCACCTTCACTTTCATTCCATACATAGTTCGTACAATCACCATTAGCCATATTATATATTGTCATATTGTGAATTTTCAGTTTCATGTTGTAATATAAAGCACTTGCCTGTAATACTGGACACATTTGTACAGCTTGTAGATCCATACAAAATGTATAACATTGATTTTCTATTGCCTGAGCTTTATCATATTCTTTTTCTTCTCGTGCTCTATTTTTTATTGCAATATGTAATGCATAGTCCTCTTCTGTAATATTCCCTGCCTTGTACGAACAACACAAATCACATAAATCTTTTCTTGGGCTGTATATCGAAAAATTTTTCTCTTTCATAAATTGATGAAAAAATGTCTTACTGAATGGCAATACATTATCACTAATAGATTTACTTTTATAAGCATTGTAAATTTCTTGTGTGTTTTTAAAAGGTCCCTCTAAAAATAATCTACTAGTTTGCTTGCGACAATAATGTGATGGCATTTTTGGTAAGCTGTTGAACCAATCACTTATATATTTCTGCCTAGTTTCTAATGAGGATCTATGTATCAAATGAGATGTTGTACCAGCATTACCTATATTTTCTGAATTACTTTTTCTTCGCAATCCATTAGAGTATGTATTTTTGATCCAGTTTTGTATCATATTTTCTTTTACACCCAAAGTCCCCAAAAACATTTTCTTACAAACTGTTAATTTTTCAGTTTCATTTGATTTTAAGTAGTACTCAAAAGTTTGAGATCTTCGGCTTTCATCAACTAGTTGATTAGTTTTTCTTTTAACTGGAATCAAATTTACCATGCTGCTCACATATATTTTGTTTCACTCCAGGATGCAGCCCAAAAGCGATTGAAAATTTGTAATCGTTGATGTTCAGTAAATGTATTACAAAATCGTTTTTTAGCTTTAATACAGAATTTTGAACTGCAAGTGTTATCTAATATTCTACTATGTCTCTGCACATTTTGTTCAACAACATTATCTTTTCTGTGATATCCTACATAGGATTTACCAGTCATTCTTAAATTTTGCATTTTTACTCTTTTCCATTCACCTTTATTAGCTTTTGGAGAACGCTTTTTAACTATTTTTTTTGGCTGTTGGTCCATATTAGAAATCTCAATATGAATTTCCTCATCTTGATTTTCAGAGTCAATTATATTCTCAAGTTCATAATATTCAGACTGATTGACTGTATAGACTTCTGATACCTGAGTACCACATATATAAAACAATTAATAATATAGAAAACATGATTGATTAAAATATGTAAAAGTCTTTAGGTACCTCTGAATTAACCAGTGAAGTACTAGCATTATTAGAAATTAAATTTGAAGATTTATCATCAGAGCTATTAAATACATTCTGAACATCTTGAGACAGATTGACTGTATATTCTTCTGATATCTGAATACCAGAATATAAAAAATTAATAATATAAAAGTATTTAGGTACCTCTAAATTAACCATTGAAGTATCAACATCATTAGAAATTATATTTTTAGATAGTGTATTATGAACTGTGCTATTACAGTTATGGTGAACTTCTTGGAACTTGTTGACAGTACTAGGATGTATTTCAGAATTTGTATCATTATAATATTAAAATGATGCTGTAGCAATAATTTCATTAAAACTCAATTTTGGATTTGGTATACTATTAGGATTGAGATCTTTATTGGACTTTGATTGTTCTTTGGCAAGCTTAATAATATTGGAAATGCGACTTTTAGACGACATTATACCTACAAGAAATACTAATACATGATATAAACTTCTTATTTAAGAGTATCTTATTCTGTTAAATGCTGTGATGTATTATAATATGAATTATTATAATTAATAAAATAATATTGATAGTTTTACTATAAATTGTACAGTATTCATTTTACAAATTATACCTAATATATTTAAAAAAAAAATTATATTGGTGTAATATCACGTAAGTACATAAGAATTAATTATTTATTTGCTGCAAATACGCGTATATGTATGCTATAGTTTAAGTAGTTCAAAATTAAAGTAGTTTAGGTTAAATAAGTGTTTTATGACAGTACAATATATCTTTATTATCCGTATATTAGTTATTTATTATAAAATCGTACTTACCTAATGTTCTTCGAGTACAAATTATGAATAACGTAATGCACTCCACTTAAGTAACAAATTTACCATGTAAAATGATTCAGATACGTTATATTACTGCACATTTTATGATAAGTGATATCACTCATTTTAGTTTTGGAGGGAAAATAATGATTTTAAGGTTAATGTGCATATGAACAAAAGAAAGCGCAAGGAGATTATACATAATAATATATAATAATCTCAATTTGTCCAAAAATGTAGATACGTGCTATTACGGTTTACCTAACGAATTCGTTTTTGAATTAAAACAAAATAAGAAAATCGCTACATGAGAAATCGAGAGAATATCCAATGTTGAAAAAAATTGAATTTCAAACACTCATAAAAATTTATATTTGACTTTCTTATAGGCATTTTTTTTTTTTGATAAAGATAGATAATCTTATAAAGAATCTTGTATTACATTTTAAAATCTTAGATTTAAAAAGAAAAATTTTATGTATTTTTAACTCAAAATAATTTTCTAATTTTCGTGATTTTTCCATATTTTGTCAATTTTTGAACTTTATATGCTTATAAAAAAAAATGTGACTAAGGATTTTTAATATTTTTCAAATGTCATTGTAACAACATAGTAAGAGCCTTGTATTAAATTTTCAAGTATTTTTACTCAACTTATAAAGTTTTATCGACATTCATAGAAAAAAAACTAATACAATTGAAAATTGAAAATGTTCCTAAACAGTTCTAAACAAATCAAAATATTATGAAAATGTTATTATGTATAGAAAATTCAAATAAAAACAACAATGAAAATTTCATGTATATACATTCATTTGTTATGGTCCAAAAAAAAATCAATTTCCTGGAAAACCGATTTTGCGTAAAAGTTCTCGTTTTTCGTTAATTTTTATGTTGTTTTTCCCGAGCGGTTTCGAAAACTATTGGGAATTTTAAAATTTGACTTCCCGAATGCACCAACTATATTCACTTTCCCATCGAACAAGATACTGTTGAAGAAAATTGAAGCAGTTTTACTACCCCAAACCGTGATGACAGACCCCCCCCTCCCAAAAAAAATAAATGAAAAAAAAAGTTGCTCTGTTGTACAGTAGGTTACAAGTGAATCACTGTATTACCATCTGAATCTTTACATTTTAGTTTTATAAATAAAATATTTAATAAAGCGTACAAAATTTTTCCATTGTATTAAACATATTAATATATAGGTGTACTTTTATTTTTGTTTAAATATCTTGTTTTAGATTCTGACAGAAACTATGTTGATTTTGTGTCTGTTATCACCTTTTAGGACAGTAAAAGTGCTTGGATTTTCTTCAACAGAATCTTTTCTAATAGGAAAGTGAATCTAGTAGTTACTTTAGGTGGTCAAAAGTAAAAATTTCCAAGTAATTTTAAAAAGCGCCTTGAAAAATAAAAGAAAAATTAAGGAAAAACGGGAATTTTTAGGCAAAATCTGTTTTCGAGAATATCGATTTTGGTTTATGTGCAATAATTCTTAAACATATGACCGTAGGTACATTACATTTTGACTGAATGTTTATATTAGCATTTTCTATACACCATAACATTTTAACTTATTTTGAGCTATTTAAAGACATTTTCAGTTTCCATTTTTATTAGTTTTTTTTTTCTATAAATAACAATAAAATTTTATTTTTTGGGTACAAAAGCTTAAAAATTTAATATAAGGCTAATAATATATTTTTTCAAAGATAAATGAAAAATGTTAAAAATAGTACTATAGTCAGATAAATCAGAAAGAAAAATTAATTAAAATAAGTAATTACACAGTTTGTGATGGTGGGATCAATCTATATCGTGTAACATGTTTCGATAGATGATTGATAACCGTGATAGTAATATGGTGACCCAGATTTTAAAGTTAAAATTGACAAATTGCAAGAGAAAATGTAACATAGGCAGCTGGCAGATTATTACTTGTATCTTGGAGATGCAAGCTCACGGCCTAATAATGCAGGCACAGTTATGGAAATTTATATAAATATTAATCGCTGTGTCTAGAGCACCGGGCGCCCGGATGGATAATAGAGCACCGGGCGCCCGGTAACACTGTAGAGTACCGGGTCACACTGTAATTATAAAAATATGATAATAATATTATAATCTTTTATTATATACTTGTCTACGATAATAATATAGTGAGTTATTAGTTAATACTTAATAGTTAATAGTTACTTAATAGTTATTAGTTATTCTTTTTATAATAGTATAATAAATCACAGAAATACAGAATTTATACGAATACCAATAGTCATTAGTCTATTATTCTAATCAGTTATTTGTCTTGTTCATGAAATTTCCAGTGTTAAACGTCATGCCCATCACCCATTCCTTTCTTATATTGTGCCAATTTTTATTATAATAATTAATTATTGATTCAGGTGCTATGGATTGAAGGCGGCTGTATATCATATCATATTCTTCTTCGGATTTGCAGTATGTTAATTCTTGAAATATCAGTTTCACATCATCCCTTTCTTTGGGAGTTATATTTCTTTTTTCACACGTTATTTCCCGATTGAAGGTCCGTAATGTGTGAAATAAGCATATTGTTAATGAAGAATTTGGAAATACTTGCCTTATTACATTTCTTTCCTTCATATCTTTGTCAGTGACATATACACGAGTTTGAATTGATATTGGGTTGTTCTTTTTGAATGTTTCAAAAAACCAACGCAAAGTCGACTCTTCTTCATTCACCAACAGTCCAATCGCTGCAATTTCACTCTGCCCATTGCCATCCTCAGTCATTAAAACATAAACGGGAAGCCTCAGATCAAGTAGTTTGTACGTGGCATCTGCAAAAACTACCTGTACAAAAAAAAAAAAGTATTTTTATAAATTGTTACTTTTATATTATATAATATATACCTCTGGAAATGAACTGAATGATTCTACCATAATCATATCTTGAATAAAAATACCGTTCAAATTATTGTATTCGTCTATTGATACCTCTACAGTACAGTTGAATTTACTCTTTAATTTAGTTACAACTTCGGTTAAATCATTTTTTGAACAATGATTTCCTACAAAAAAAAACTAGAAATATCAAAAGCACTAAACTAAAATATTATTTTTCTTACCAGCTGTGGTACGGATGTTGGATAAATCCTTTAGTGTAACTATTTTACCGCTTTCTTTCATTATTTTTTCCTGTATAAGTTTTTTGTTCGCCTTCATATCCATCAACTCTATAACTATGGCCTTGTTTTCCGGTGTGATCTTTCTCTGATTGGGAAGATGGCTGTACAATATTTTTGAGGTCTCGTGGTTATGAGTCTCGTCCATTTTAGTTATTTCTAACTGTTGTCCATTTGCTGAAGCTTTTAAATATATAAAAGCTTCACAACCTTGGCGCATTGTACTTAAACATTTGAATACAAATTTATTTATATATTTCATATATTGTAACTAAGTAATATAAAATAAAATATGTATGAACTATAAATGTACTTACGAGGTGACACGTTGGTCTAAAGTATTTTTTTTTTTTTTGTGGCATCCTCCATGCACACAACAATATTTAATATAATAATACTTAATTTTGGTTGATGCTGTTACCATTTTCCCATTTGGGAATTTAGCATTGATTGATGCCAGGGTCTTGCAGTCTTTAATATAATAGTCGACATAATTTTTGTCTTTGTAGTGACTTAAAACACTTTCAAATTCATCAAATGAAGAAAAAACATCAAAAAGTTTCATATTTGAAAAAAACTTTAAACTTTGAAAAAAATTTAAACTTTGAAAAAACTTTAAACTTTGAAAAAAACAAAACTGAAAACTATATTTTATACTGAGCTGTACTGTACTACACTCGCCATGAGGTTGAAGGGAAAGATACCTATAAAGGTTAGTAAGGCCAAATAAACGATTAAGGTTTTCCTAATAAAATAACTATTATTACATATTTAAATTAGACGCCAATATTCAAATGAAGCGTGTGTTTTTTACAGTGTGACCCGGTACTCTACAGTGTTACCGGGCGCCCGGTGCTACATTATCTATCCGGGCGCCCGGTGCTCTAATATTGAATCGGGCGCCCGGTGCTCTAGACACAGCGAATATTAATCAAAACCATGACGAAGGGGCATGTACAAGTTGCAACCAAAAGTACATTTTTTTATACCAATTCCCCTCAAACTTCCTAGAGCAAAATGGACTAGTTGCCCTTATATGTTAATATATACACGATTAAAATATATAGCCCGTAAAATACTGGAGGTAAACATACAAATAATAAATAAAATTATTTATAAAAAGTTTCTCTGCTGTACAGTAGGTTAGAAGTGAGTCACTGTATAATGGATGGTATTAAATTTTAATTCAATGATATAATATCATTGTATAAGAAAAACGATTCTGAGCGGAGACGGTATGTCAGTCTAGGTATAAGACTGTATGTTACATACTATATGTTTTCTGGAAAACCGATTTTGCGTAAAAATTCTCGTTTTTCATTAATTTTATGTTGTTTTTCCCGGCGTTTGTGAAAACTATTGGGAATTTTAAAATTGTACCTCCTGAATATACCAACTAGATTCATTTTCCCATCGAACAAGATACTGTTGAAGAAAATCGAAGCAGTTTTACTAACCCAAACCGTGATGACAGACACAAAAAAAAAAACCACACATCATTTTAAAATCAATATATTCATTGTTAAATTCAGAATCCAAAACACATATCATTGTAAAAACAATACATTCATTGTTCCACTCAGAATCTAAAAAAACTCTAATAATTAAAAACTCTTATACTGATATTAGCATTAATTATTAAAATCCAACGTTTTATAATAAAATATTATTGCATCTATTCACCTCAGTGATGATACAAAATGTATAGAACTATAATTAGAAATAAGGTAGGTAATATTTAATAATTTGAATATAATATTAAGTTATTTTTGAAATAATTTTACTTCTTTTGAATTATTTCATTTTTTATGGTTGACAAGATTTGGCTGTGAAAGGCTTTTACTGGTGTCTGTAACTTATAAGTAGGGCTCGGAAGTTGATAACCTAAAGAACCTTAAAAAATGACCTTAAAAAATATGAATAAATTACCTAAAAATGATGGAAAATGACTACAAAAAATGACCCAACAATTGACAAATTATGATATAAAATGACTTAATAAACTAAAAAATGCAAAAAATGACTTATTTTATATTTTTAAGAAAAAAAACCTTTTATTTAACATCTTGTTAAAAATTGTTATTAAATATAAACCATAAATACCCTACGAAAATATTTAAAACAAAATATAAAAATGATCCTAATTAAAAAACCTAATCAAATTTATTACATTGAACAATAAGTGCATGTTTGATATTTTCTATAGTAAATGACCTGCGATTGTCCGAAAGTAAATTCTTATACTTTGAGAAACTTCTTTCTACATCTACTGATGTAATTGGTGCAAATTGAAAATGAGCAATATCGGAATTATTGAGGTCGTCTGGAAAGTTTTGGTTCAACACGTTTTCACCATTCAAAATTTTTTGATATATATTTTAACCTTTTTGTATTTTTTGACTTTGTGACTATTTTTTCTGTGTACTTCTATAATTGTGAATTCTTTTTATGTGTACTTTTACTTTTTTGTCATGTGATTTATATTAAGCTGATAGTCCATTTTCATGTGTCCCCCTCTCTCAACGTTCCATCTTTTTTTTTACCACCTAGGTCCCCATTAAATGTCTCACCATAAAAATTTATAAATAAAATCTGTTTTTATCAGCTTAACGCCGATTAAACGGATTCAGCATAACATGCACTACGGTCTTGCCGGTCGCCGGGTATAACCCGATCTTGTTCTGTCTGTCTTTTCTGTTGTATCTGTGCTTCCCTACCTGTTTATTGCGGTGTTTTTTTTTTTTTTTTTATTGGTGATTGGATTTGCGCGTTGAAACGACCTTTACCTTCGCTAGGCTTTGGTACCCGGTCAGCCGGAGTACCGCGCCCACGTGCTGAGCCAGCCTCCGGTAATTGGAGGTCGTATACGACCGAAATCACCCGGAGGTAGAAAGTAAGGCCTAGGTCGCTTCAACAAAGTGGCGTAACTCCACTATAAAAAATAAGGAGTCAATAAGGGCCATTCTCGTCTCCCCACATCATTCCTTTACAATCATAGTGTATTAATTAATAATTATCATGTGGAAAATCGTTCATACCTATTATTATTGCAGGTCAAGGACCACCATTATATACAAAATCGGGATGATTGTAGGCCTTACATAATTGAGACCCTGAAGTTCATGTACGATCTACAGTTGACGTCGAGTGTAACTGCAGAGGTAACGCACTCATCCCTGAAATTATGGTTTTGTGATAATAGTTCCCGAGAGTAGCACGCTAGCGCTTACATCGTATTAATATTTTATTCCATGGAAAATTTAATATTAAGTCAGTTTAAGTTTATATTTGTATATTTTCATTTTAAATTAATAATTTTTATTATATAATTTATCGCACTCCCGAAAACCTGAAGTCCGTACATTAAATTTGTTTTTACTTGTATGTGTAATTTTAACCGTACGATACCGGATTGTGTGTACTGTACTACTGTGTACAATTACATTATAATTATTGGTACTATACTGCTGTTTCAACAATAATTACGACCAACTACCAAGTAAGCATCTACCTATTTGTTACTTTGTAGTTTTTACTAATAACCAATCTTGTAAAAAGATACTTTGAATTTGTATTTAAATACATCAACTTAAATAGTATTTAAAGTACTTTTTTCAATAAGTATTTAAGAACAAATACAAATACTTAGAAAGTATTTAAACACAAATACTTATCTTAATATAATATTTGTTTTAACTTTGGGTTCAATACTTTTTCTCTGATATTTTAACTTTAAACTTGACCATTGAGATCAAACTCATTCAAACTGTACATATTATTGTATAGTTAATACTTAATAGTTCATATATAATGCATATCCCAGATAGCTTCTGGTACTAACCAAGGTACCTATAATTGTATAAGTTAATAGTCACCGAATGATCGTTTTAATTATTTATTGTATGAGAACTAAATAGATATTATAAGAACTTTTATCTCCACAACAAAAATAGCTTCTGGACATCACAATAAACTAATATAGGCTTCAATGAAAATAAACAATAACATTTCGCGTTTATTTTAGGAGGCTATGTCGAGAATGAAATTACAAAATTTTGAAGTTATAACTTTTGATTTCTGACTGAGAAAAAACATAATAAATAATCATTTATTGAAAAAAAATCGATAAAGTATTTAAATAAAAGTATTTGATTTTCAAATACAAATACGTCCAAGACCATATTTAAAGTACTTTCCAAATACTTTATTCGAAAAGTATTTAAAAAGTATTCTAAATATAATAAAAGTATTTAAATACATTTACTCAAATACTTTACAAGACTGCTTATAACTTATAAGGCACCTACCTATTTAATTGTATAAAATATAAAACAACGTTCGATAAGCTCTATTAAATTATACTTTGGGTGCATGGATTACACCGTAATTTTCGACTACAAAATATGTCTTAAAAATAATAATAATAATAATAATACAAATTAACATATCATTGATAATTAGATAGATCAATTTGTAAACCTGACTATTAAATTTGAAGGCTTGATTGAAGTATAAAATTAAGCATAATATTATGCATAACTATAGGTCTTATATTATTAGTTGAAACAACGTTGTTTGGGAAAAAACTTTAAACCTTTATATCCTTTTTTTAAATGTACCCCATCGTCGGAATAATCCAATCGACTGTATGTTGCAGTTAGCTAATGTCCATTATTATCTAAAATTATATTTTATATATTGTGTTTTATATTTTTTATATATTGTGTACTAATTTCAATTTCAGCATGGTATCTAATAAATGTGTGGTTACATACAACTTGGGGTGGGGACAGCTCTACCCTTTTAATGATCTATAGAGCTTTAATCAGATCAAAAACAGACTATGGCTCAATATTATTCAACAATGCTAACACCTCCCACTTAAATATGATTCAAACCAAACTCAATACTGCCATAAGATTATCAATCGGGGGATTTAAATCCAGCCCAATTGAGAGCATTAGAAACATCGCCAACGAAATTTCCCCTATACTCAGAAGGGAAAAACTACTTCTATTGCATTGTGCCAGAACCAAAAGAAATACAAACAACCCAGCAACCAAAATAATAAACACATATATACAAGAAGCTGAAAAAGAAAATATAAAAATAAACAACATTCTAGATAGAAAACCCTATAACTTTCCCCCATGGAACACGACATTCAACGTCAACCTCTCACTAACAAATTTCAAAAAAGAAAACACAATTCCCTCCATATATAAAAACATGCTTCAAAATATACTGCAAGAGCATCCCAACAGTGTTCAAATTTATACTGATGCCTCCAAAACCAACAACGGAGTCGGGGTTGCAATGATAGTAAATAATCAAAAAATAACATATAAACTTCCTCCCCAAGCCTCAATATTTACAGCAGAAGCGATTGCAATATACAAAGCAGCCAAATATTTCCACTCAAAATGCGTAAGCCCCGAAACTAAATGCATAATTCTTAGCGACTCACTAAGCAATCTAATAGCAATCACAAATACAAGTAACCCGCCCGATACCACAAATCTCATCCAAGAAGAAACCTTCCAGGCTGGCAAAAAAGGGAAACAA